TCCCAACAGTAGTGTTGCAGCCATTTGGTTCACTGGTACTTTCACTAAGGTCTTGAATTTGGAACAAAGTACTTGGTGAGACAGTGGAGAATTGAAGTTATTTTTTTTCCTCCCAACATCTCAAATATTTTAAATGACATTTGGAAGCAGGAGATTTAACCCCTTTAAATGTAACTAAAAAGACAATTTCTTTGGTCAGCAGCTAAAGCTGTGTGGCTGAAATAACTATAGTAGATTGTTACACGCTTTCAAAATGCAACTTGGAGTAGGAAGATGGTATTCCTAAGGTTTAAGAATGTACTAAGTGAATATTTTACTTTTTAGTCAAATCTATTAGATCAAAGGAGATTTATGTTCAGAACCTAACCTTCTAGTATGAGTCATAGCTCCTACAATTGTTTTTTGTCCGTTCAACATGCTTCTCGGTATTCAAGATCAATAGAACTTTCTAATGGAAGAAAAGATGATTATTAGTGATTTGTCAAAAAATACAAGAGCATGATTGGTATTTATTCAAAAGTTAAGTTTATTTATTATGTTAAAAGATAAAAATTATTCCAGTAGGCTAATAATGTTCAGATGTCTGGCCTTTGGTCATGAAATACTCCTGAGTGACACACATTACGGTAGTTAAGCAGATTAGCCCCTCCAGCCTTGCAAAACAGGTCTTTATGTTCTTTTCCCCATGGAAGAAATGGTGGATCACATTTGTTTTTGGTTTTTTTCGGGTAAATTGCAATTTCTAATGTACACCTCTTCATGGTCACTGTTTGGTAAAGCATAACCTATAGGCCTAAGTATCTTAACATTGTGTTCCACTGTATATAAATATGCATCCATTGTGCAAATTGATTTAGTGGAGTGAAAACTGAGATTGAAAAATAATTTGCTAATGCTAGCAACTTTTGTAAGGTATATCTCTTGCTAAACTTTGGTATTCAGTGTTTTCTTTGTAAGTGTCCTGAGTGAAGCCCTGTGGAAAATGTGTCCTGGTGATATCTGAGAAAACCAGAAAAGGTTTCGTTTAAAAAAAAAAAAACTGAATATAGGGAATGATTGCTTTCCCTTATTCTACTTTTAGTTTAAATGGTCTTATTTTCTCATAGCATCCATTGGAGACAAACACAGGGAAATTGTGGATTTAACCCATTCTTACCCAAGTATCACATGGGTAAACTATGAAAGTGAAACAGCCTAATACATTCCTTGTTTATTTCAAGTAGGGATCTAATTTCCTTTAACGGGATATTCTCATTGAATTATACTTTTCATATATCCTACATAAGATATGATGACTTATAAAATATAAACTAAACTAAAGCTAAATAAACTAATTCTGTTTCTGGTTCAGGAAGAAAATTCAGAAATATGTAAAATGAAGTTGCAGTATTTTCTCCTTGATGACTTTAATTTCAGATGCATGGTTATCCAAATATATCTCTGGGGTCAATAAAGATCTGGAGATTTTTGCAGGAGTAGACTGCAAAAGTCTACTTTGAAGACTGGTAAACACATTTGGAATCTGGAATCATACCATGGGAACTCTTAACAAACTGCCCTGAGGAGGCTTATACATATGCAAAATCATTGTCACTGTGGCCATTCACAAAAATCTCATTAATCAGATGGCAAATGGGAGAAGCCATTCCTAGCCCCATCTTGCAGCTGCCTTCTCCACCACAACTTCCTTTTTCTTCTTTTCATTGTTTTAAGATGCACGTGGCAGCTAAAAAAAATGCACTGGACTGCAGCCACACCTTATTTTCCAGTACACCTCTATGGCTATTGCATCCAAAGCATATTTTATTTATCTTATGATTTGTAAAGTAGTTCCTAAAGATTCTAATTTGTATAGAATGGCATGATATTATGTGCATTAAAACTGGGCTTTGACTGTAGCCTTGACTATACTTGTGACCAAAATATACTGAAACTGATGGTTCTGTCCATATTATTAGCAGGAAAGATTGGTTGCTGAATGCAATACCAGTATTACATGATAGAAATAAATCATTTATGAGAGTAAGATAGTGAGAGTAACACTTAACAGATTGGTATCTGGTGTCGATTTGGTTGTTTGGTCTGTTTATTGATAAATATATCAAAAAAGTTTGTGTGATGTTACATACATTGGTTGGGGATATGAATGCGACTGTATGTGGAGAATCCTGAATTGTTGGCTGAGAATTTGAAGTATTTGCAGGAAATCAAGATAGTTATTTTTGACAGAAGAACGAAGACTAGCAGTAATTTAACTGACTTCCACAGAAAGTACATGAATGGTGGGGGGGGGGGGTGAAGGAAGGAAGGCTGAATGCAAAAGTGAGCACTGTATTTTTCGGAGTATAAGACGCACCATGATGTTGAAGAGGTAATTTTTAAAAAAAAGTTTTTGCACTCTGCAGGTCTCCCAAACCCTCTGCACACCTCGTTGTTTTTTTTCAAAAAAAAAAAAAACCGCCCCGCCCCTTTCCAAAAATGGACATGCAGAGCTTTGGGAGGCTTGTAGAGGGCTCCTGGGGGAGCAAAAATGACCTATTATTTGCCCTCCCCAGCCCTCAGGAGCACTTTGCAAGCCTCCCAAACCCTCTGCATGTCCATTTTTGCAAAGGGGACGGGGTTTCAGTAGGCCAAAAATGCTGTATCAGTGTCTAAAGGAAATTTTGAGGGGAAAAGATGTATCTTATACGCTGAAAAATACGGTAATTCAGAGACATAAATTGTTGTGCCTTGGTCATATAGAGAGAACGTATGAGGACCAAATCATAAAACAAATACCTGGAAGTAGAGTGAGCAAGTTAAGAGAATGGAAAGAACCAAGAAAGTTATAGTTGGATGGAGCTGATGAATCTTACAAAAAAAAAAAAGTGGTAAATTTAAAACAGCAAAAGGCAACATATGAAGTGATATATGGTCATGGTCATTTTCACTCATGCTTTAGTCACTTCCCAGTTGAAAGTGGTGATTGGATGGAGTTGATGAGGTCCTTCAAAAGAAGGGCATGCGAAGTTTAAAAAGCAGCATATGAAGCGGTATGAGGGCATTCTGGAAGAATGAAAAAAAAAATACGAATGGTGTTGGCGTAAACTAAATTTAGCTAATTTTCTTTTTCTCGTCTCATGTGTAGGGTTTTTTTCTTCACAATTTCTTAATACTTTTCTACACTTTGCATAACATAGTTTATTCCAAAAGTAAATAGTGTGAAGGTTAGGTACATCTTTGTTAATTTTGTCATTTTTCCTTAATGTATATGTCGGCATATTCTGTGGCATCCCTTTAGAATCAGTAGAAAGTACTTTTTTTGTCAGTTACATATTTATGTAGAGGCAGGCAAATCCTGACTTTAAGATTGTATCTGTGTGAATGTGAATAAACTGCCAGTTGATTTTTATAAACAGACAAGCTGCAACAGTTAGGCCTTGCCTTATTTTTACCATAGGTGAAACAAATTGTGTGAAGTACTACAATTGATTGCCCAATCAAACAACCTTTGTGATAGTTCTTTTTAAGCAATCAAATAAATGCCTGTCTGTCGGAAGAGAGTGTAGCTTTGTATGTTGCAACTTTTTGACTAAATAATTGGTGTGTCTTCATATTTTGACTAGCCCGGAATTTAATATAAACACTATTTGGACTCAAAGAAAACATTTATGATTAAATTGTTAAAATATTTTGACAGTTTGCTTTAGGTAGTCTGAGCTCAGCTTTTATGCGTTGTTGTAATTTCCTGTGGGTTTCTCCCCCCCCCCTTTTAGTTCTAAATGCAAGACAAACATTTCACACTTGGCAGTTGTGACTGATCTCTTGGAGTTGATTTTATAAAGTGAAACAAAAAGGGGAGGGGGGGAGTGGAAGACATGTCTCCCCTTTTCTAGGAATGGTCTGCTGAGAGCAGCTTTTAAAGTCTTTGACAGCAGATACACTGAGGTTGGTAGCTGAGGCTTATTTTTTAAAACCCTAGTGTGCTATTTAAATTTGTTTGCCTCCTTAAATTTAAGTCATGTCATCACTGGTTTGGATTACCTCTGTCTGCCAAGAGTTGGACTTGCATCAGATCAGCCTTTGTTTTGGAGACAGGCAGAAGAAAGAGATCCAAGCCATTCCCATTGGCATTGTGCAAGGAAAAATCTAAAGTAGGTGGTAGTTTTGAATTACCCTGCTCGGCTAATGTGGTCCTTTTGGGAGGAAGCATTTGATAATCTGAGCTTTTGTCAACAGATGTTAGAAGATTAGGATTCAAATTATAGAGAATACCTTTTGTATCACCAAGAGCTTGCTTCAAACCTATGCAAAATATCTGGCTTACTGAGCTTTAATCGTATCACTCCAATTCCATTCATGCGATATATTACTGGCTAAAACCAGAAATAGTTGTGTTGGCCTATACGTACTAAAACTAACCTCCAAACCTTAGTCGATACTTGCGATCGACAAAATTGCACAAAAATGTGCAAGCTTTTTTGCTTTCCAGACTTCCTCATTCAACGGGGTAGTACCAAAAGCTGTAGAGGCGAAACATAAGTCAAGTATGGTGTAGAACCTGGAGGCGAAATAGAGAATTTGGAGTCATCACAATTGTAACTGAACAGTCACTGAAGAAGGACTACATGCAAGGGTATTGCAAAACTGCTTAGTCATGGCACTGAGATAAATGCCTGTGCTAAGCTTCATTAAGGCTTCTGGGGCGCCCCATAGAGCTGCACGTTTTAGCCTAAACACTACAGAAGAAATGTTTACAGCAGTGCATTGCAAAGGTACCGCAACTCCCCTAAGGTTTAAATGTTAATGATCTTCTGCTCAGTGAAAAATTGTAATTCCAGAAAGTTTATGTAAGTTGTATAAAAGACTCTTGAATATTCGTTAACCTATACATGAATGATGAATAGATTTGGAAACTCTGTGTTTCATTCCTGTCAATGAAAATTAAGTTTCCCCAAAGTATCGGTCATTGGCATTTCAAAAAATGCACTTGTTTTATGTCACTTTTCTTGTTTTCATAGGACATTACCCCTCTAACTGGTGTTCCAGAGGAACATATTAAAACACGAAAAGCTTATATTTTTGTTCCGGCCCGTAATGCCATGCAAGCTGGTGTTAATAACACGAAAAAATGGAAAATGGAATTTGATACAAGGGAGCGCTGGGAAAACCCACTGATGGGTTGGGCATCTTCGTAAGTATAAAATAGCATTTTCAAAGTTTATTCGTTGATCAGCTAATACAGACCTTTATCTAGCACGGTTAGATTTTAAAACTGCTAATAAAATTATGTTTTTGCCAGGGATGTTATTTTTTATTTGGGAATTTTTTATTAACTTCTAACTGTGAAATGGGAGCTATTCTCATACTCTAGAAAGGGAGTCATCTGGTAGTCGGATGTACAAATAACCATGTGGCGTTGCATTAAGTAGGCCACGGAAATTCCAGAGTCAGCAGCAAGAACTGTATTTGCTCAAAATTGGAAATTAAATAAGGTACCAACAGAAGAGGAGATAATAAAAAAAAATCTAGACTGTGCAGAGAGGAACAAATTGACCTTGAAAATAAAGGATAAAGAGGAATCGGTGAACTTCAAGACCTGGGGAAGATTTTATGAATGGTTAGAAAAAGACATACAGATACGCCATCAAGTAGAAAAGGGAAGGAAGGGGGGGCAATAGGGAAGAAAATAATAATATATAAGTATATATTCAAAAGGAAGATACAAAGGGTGGGAACACAATCAAGATAGATTTGAGAAGGAAAGGGAATAAGAAATGATATTCAACTATTTTTGGGTTTGCGGAATACCACCTCAAGAAAATAAAAATTAAAATTTGGAAGAGACACCTATAATAATAGAAAAAAGAAAGGAGGAGATGAGAGGAAAGAACGAAGATAGAGGTGAGTAGAGGAAGATAGAAAGGAGAAGGAGAGAGGGCAGGAAGGGGAAGAGAGGAGTAGGGGAGAGGAAAGGGAAGAAAGAAGGGAAAGGAGAGAGGAAGGAAGAAAGGAGAGAAGGGAGGAGGGAGAAAAGAAAGGGAAAAGAAGGTGGTGTCAAAACAGGTGAGGGATGGTAAATAAAGCAACCCTTATAACCCTGTAAATGGAATGATAATAACTATGTGAATATATATCTGTAATATACAAAAACAAATACCTGTATATTAAAAAAAACTTTTCCGGAAAATTCCAATAGTCAGACAAGATCAAATTGTTGTTATTAGCTCCATTACATAAGAATCAGTATTGTCCAGTGATGAACGCATCCAACTAGAAGCCAGGAGACTGTGAGTTCTAGTCCCCCTTTAGGAATGGAAGCCAGGGTCAGGAAAGCTTCGTGAGTTGACAGCCAGCTGGGTAACTTTGGGCCAGTCACCTTGTCTCAACCCATGACATCAGGCTCAAGCCACAACCTGATGGGTCAATTTCTGTCCAATCAATTGATCAACACTCAGTTGATTTGAAAAAGAAGACCCTGCACCTATGAGAAAATGCTTCAGAAAGGGGGGGGGGGAAGCTAGGTTAAATTTTACTGATAAAGAAATGAGAGGCCAAAACAGAGAGTCATCTTTATTTACTGTAGCCTAATGGATCGTAGCCCATAATCTGGGCAATTCACAATTAAATAAATTACAATAAAAGATATAATTTACTAATTACAGATAAAACCACTGATTATGTGGTAATTTGCAGGATCTGATTTGTTCCCTTTGCATGTGACTAGGCAATGTCTGTGAAATAATCACTATATTCCAAAACATTTTTGGTTTATCTGTAGGCTTATAAACATGATAAACCCCCTCATCTTATCAATTCGGTCAGATAAAGAATGCATTCCAGTGAAAGCATTGCTAAAAGTTGTAAACAGATGTGACAAGCCAATATGTATCTGTAGGGATGCTTCCAACTTAGATAATACTTGATCTAGGTTCTTAAAGTAATTTCCCGAGTTCCTTAACTCTCTTGCTTTTAGAATTAAGCTGCCTATTCTTTGGGGACTATGCCACTTTAGATACTGGCTGAAGCAATTCTTTGGGAACTTTCTTGGTTTACCTTATTTTACTGTATTAGATAGGTTTGTGTCTTCCTTAAGAAAAATATCAGTCTTGAATTCTCTTAGTGCAGCAGGATGGAATTTTGGACTTCAGTTAAAAAAAAAAAGAGTTTCCCACTTGTATTATACCTGGCAAGATTCTTAGCTCAAAACTCACTGCCCTCAGTGTGAGAATGGATGCATTTTTGTTGTATAATACCATGTGATAATATCTCCATAGTGCTTTAATAATTTGTTAAATTTTATATCAAAGGCTCAATGAAAGAAGTCACTCAATTTGCAATCTATCTTCATCTGTCACCTGCCTCCTTGCTTTTTAAAGTCTGAAAGTTAGTTCTCCATCTCTGAAGAAAGTACAGCAGATTTCATGAAGATTTAATTGCAGATCCAAAGGACTTCTTGTGACCAAGCAATTACACACAGCCATTTATAACCTTGAGACACATTTTACATAATTTCAGAGTTGCCGTAACAGATTTATTCTCATAAATTCTGAGAATTCATCATGCTTCCCTTGGTAGTACTAGAAGTTCTATTTTAGTGATTGTGGTGGTGTTATTCATGAAAGAGATATTCTGAAAAATTTAAGTAAGCACATGTTTAACATTTTAGGCTGGACTGTGGGTTTGGACGTTTGGCTGACTCAGAAAATGGAAGGCTAAGAATTCTTGGCCCTTTTGTGGTTCAGCCTCCTCCTCCTTTAGAAATCAAAAATCAGAATGCACACAGACAAACTGAATTGTTTTTGTTTCTTTCTTTCTTTCTTTTGGTGCAATAAATTGCATTTCTAACCACCATAAGATGTTGTGAAACTTCAGAATTAGAAGCAGGCAGCCAGCAATTTTTCTCAATTCTTGGATAGAGAATATGGTTTAAATTTAAAAAGATAAAAGAATGCATGCAAGGATGTGTGGTTGTTCGAGCCAGATCTGTATTTTAAAAATCTGTGGGATTTCTAGCCAGGCCCGAGGCACACTTGTATCATTATGCCCACAAGCTTCCATTCTATTCTACACCATCTGTTGTTTTTCTTCAGAAACTCTCTGGAACTACTAGATGTGGTCATCTAGGGATTTGAAGTTAAATGTGATCAGCATATGATGGCACTTTTCCCTTGCCTTATGAGTCAGGTGAGGCTGTGGAGCTGCTGAACCAGTGTCTGGTTTTGACAATGGGCTAGGTGGTAGCACATAAGCAGAAGCTGAACTCTAACAAGATCAAAGTGCTGTGAGCTAACGGTCGTTGTATTTGTGGAGTTGATAATCCTCCTGTTCTGGACAGAATGGTCCTCAAGGTCCCAGTATGGCATCATTAGTACTGTTATTATAGACCCAAATACGTTTTGCCTAGTTTTAGTATCTCTTAATGGTCTAGATCAGTGACCTTTTCAATACCGAGTGCCCAAACCGGAACGCACGTGCATGTGTGCATGTGCCAGAGCACCGGAAATCCAAAGACCAGCTGGCCAGTGCACACATGCCTGTTTTTTTGGTGGTTTTCAGGGCGTTTTCTGAGGCGTTTACCGGCGCCTGTGAAGACCAGCTGGTCGGAAAGCAGAGGAACAGCTGGCAATGGCACACATGCTTACAGAGAGGGCTCTGCATATGCCACAGCTGGCATGCATGCCATAGGTTTGCCATCATGGGTCTAGATACTGTAATGTTTAAGAACTATCAATCAGCATTACTGCAATGTATTGTAAAGCTTCAAAGATTACAGAATATGGTTGTTAGAATTTTACTGGTGAATTTTATCTCTCAGTTTCAGAAGTAAAAAGGTTTGCCCATTGATTTCCCAACACAGTTCAGAACGCTCATTAACTCTAATCCTAACCCTACATGGAATCTTACCATTGTATCTGTCTTAAGAATCTCTGTTGAAACTTTCTATGGAAATTCTCAGTCATCCAGGTCATGGTTGTCCCAAAAGTGCTTTTTCAAAAGTCAGCTGGACTTTCCTGAGGTTTTTTTCCCCCTTGAAAATGTTTTGCTTCTCATCCAAGAAGCTTCTTCAGGTCTTGAACCTTTGGTCCAGTTGTCTTTTAAAGAAGCACCTTTGCGACTTTGTTGAGACTTTGTGTGCCTTTTCTCTCAGCAATACAAAGATAATCTATAGGAAGAGGATTTCCTTTAGACCAGAGCCAATAATTGTGCCATTTTGGCACCAGGAAAAAAACCCAGATAGATCTTAATAGTTTTTCTGAAGTCATCGTGCAACTTTTAAATGTTTTACCTGCTATCTATTTCCATAATGTTTTATTATTTACAGAGCGGATCCTCTGTCCAATATGCAACTAACCTTCTCTACAAAAGAAGATGCTATTGCATTTGCTGAAAAAAATGGTATGTACAGCAGCAACCAGAGTGCGATTGATGAGTGCATGTTTATTGAATGAGAGGGGGAGTTTGAGTTACTAGCAGAAAGAAATGACAGTGGCCTGGGACTGAAATTTCATCTTGGCAGATGTGTTCTGTTAAGTGGATAATAGTACTAGTGTAAATAGTGATTTTACAACAGGAACTGCTATAGAACATTCAAATATTAACATTCTCTTATATTTCTTGAAATTGAAGTTTGGATTAACACTTTATATCATTAATAATAAAAAATATTGAACCTCATCAGTAGTAAAAATTATTCAGTTGTCCCTTCCTAGACTCTTGTCACTGTCATTTTCTCAGCATCCTCACTCTGGTTGGCTACCTTGACATAGAGTGATTGGTGTCTTACTCTGCAAATACCCCAGGTAGATCTTTCACTTTTCGCTTCATTACAATAATGAAATATTGATATCAAAAGGGGGTGCAGTGGTTCAGCGGTTAAAGACGCTGAATTTGTCAGCTGGAAAGTTGACAGCCTGGGTTCGAACTTGAGTGCCATGTGACGGGGTGAGCTCCCATTACTTGCCCCAGCTCCTGCTGACTTAGCAATTTGAAAGCATGCAAATGTGAGTAGATAAATAGGTACCACTTCAGTGGGAAGTAACAGTGTTCTGTGCTCCTTAGTGTATAGTCATGCTGTCCACAGAACCATGGAAATGTCTTTGGACAACACTAAGAAATGGAGATGAGCACTATGCCCTAGAGTCAGACACAACTGGAAAAGGGAAATCGTTACCTTTATTGATACCAAGCTCTGGTGCTGTTTTTCATGGGGTTTTTGCATCCAATATTGTCTTTCCCAATACTGTCACATTGTGACACAATTTTACCAAGATAGGCAGGATGGATGTGTCGTAGGGCTAGTATTGAGAAACACGTTTCTTACTGTCCACAGATGTCTTTAGAGGGAGGATCCTTAGCATTCCTAATGAGGACATGGTCACTTGGGGGGGCAGGGGTCTGGGGACAGAAGGATCCATCTGTAGTAAATGATCCTGCAGATAGAAAGCCATTTGGCTTTAGAGATTAAAACCAGCACCAAGAAACAGATTCTCAATAAGTAATTTGATCTATGCATAGTAAGCATTTGTAATTAATATTGTTGCTTTTAATGAAAAGTTCAGCTATTGGATCAAAATCTAAACTGGAGGTCATCTGCCTCCATTTTTCAGGACCAAAAATGTCGATTTAGCAATTTTCTTAACTAAAACATATTGAATATGTTACTACTGACATCTTAAATAGACTGGGAATTTTTAGGGAGTAGTTCTTACAAGCATTCACATCCCATAAACGTTGGTGTTAAACTAAATCGCTACATTTTACTTTATCTCATTTCCTACAAATATTTGACAAGAAAATCAGTTTGCTAAAGTGAGAACTAAGAACATTGGCCTAATTCCAGTGAATGCAAGTGAGAGATGTTTTACCATCTGCCTGTGCCAGGGCATCTTTATCTAGGTTTACAAGTCTCACTTATTCCATGATTAGGCCCCATGAGTGCAGAGATTCTCAGGCAGATCAAATGATGCCAAACCCTGTGATTCTTTATGGGCTTGTTTCTAACACTCTGCTAACATGCAGTTATTAAACTCAGTTTCATTCCAGCACTCGAGTCAAAAGTTGAAATCATCCCTAGGAGCCTAACCCAGGATTGCTTTCTTATTTACTTATTTACACATATATTTACTTCAGCATAAATTCTCTTTAAATTATCCCTAATAACACATGATGTTGACAGTATTTTAAGAAATATAGGCCAAAATATTTGGAGAGATCTAAATTGGTTAATCTAATTTGCATGGAAATGTGTGTGTGCGTGTGTGTATTAGTAATTGTGTGTGGGGGTAGGTAGGTAGGTAGGTAGGTAGGTAGGTAGATGACAGATGATAGATGGATGGATGGATGGATGGATGGATGGATGGATGGATGGATGGATGGATGGATAGATGGATGGATGATAGGTAGATAGGTAGATAGGTAGATGATAGATAGATAGATAGATAGATAAATAGATAGATAGATAGATAGATAGATAGATAGATAGATAGATAGATAGATAGATAGANATAGATAGATAGATAGATAGATAGATAGATAGATAGATAGATAGATAGATAGATAGATAATGTAATGCATAGTATTAATAGGAAATATTTTAAGCATAAAATTAATAATTCTATTAAAAAGTCACCATGTTGATATATTCAAAAATACTGTCTTCTGACTCAAAGACTGTTTTTGTTGGTTTATCATATAAGGGAGGTAGCTGCTCCTCAAAAATACAGGTCTGGAACTGTGAATTTTCTCTAGATTACATCTTGCATATAAAAGAGTAAAAAAAAAAAAAGATTCATTCCATATCCTCTCCCATTCCCACTCCCATTCCCAGAGGGCCTCCTCAGAAGCAAGTGCAGAGTATCATGATTGCACTTTTACTGCGATGTGAATAGTCTATTAATCACATGCATCCTTCCTTGATCCCATGTCTCTGCCCCAGACTGCCCATTCCTTTCTGCCCCTGTATGGTTATCATCATGCAAATCCAATTTCTGAATGTGACAGAGGAATATAATCAGAATAAGGTTTACAGCTGGGAAATGACTCTTTTAGTAGACTAATATCAGGCAATTCTGTTTGTTTTAAATGTGAAGCTATGGAAAAATTAGCAAGATTCCTGTTAGGTGAAGCAGCTGATTCTGAATTCAGGATCACATTCTAAATTCTCCAAAGCTCGCCTCTTTGTCCTTCTTGCTTCTTTGTGGCACTGGGGTACTCTGCTACCAGGCATATTTCCAAAACTTGGCTTGACATCTGATAGAGAGGTGTGAATGCATAAGATTACAGGCCTTCATGTGTCAACTGTCGGTCCTGGTCCATCAGCAAGAGCGGTGAAAGTTGGAACACATAGTGCCTGAGATCTGACAAACCTGGGAACAGGTGTAGGTCACATTTAAGGCATATCTGTCTTAAAGGATTATTGTTCCCTGCCTTTTGCAAAAGAATAAACTAGTAATTGCATATTGTATATCAAATATGTTGGTATTTCTTTTCTGTTAGCTCTTAAAAGCTTGAACTTGCTTTTGTTTGTGTTGCACTTGCTCAGTATTACCAGCTGTGTGTGTGTGTGTGTGTGTGTGTGTGTTGTTTAGAATTCTCAACATGTTTTTTCCTAGGCTGGAGCTATGATGTTCAAGAGGAGAGGATTCCAAAACCTAAATCCAAGTCTTATGGCGCAAACTTTTCTTGGAACAAAAGAACAAGGGTGTCCACAAAATAGGTTGGCATTGGTTGTCTCTGCATCTGACTGCGAATAAAGTCAGCTGTGCTGTATTTATAGTCCATGTATAATACGTCTCTTAATCTCCTAATAAATTTGACCTTTAAACTGCTCATCTATCTTGTGGTGTCTATTTAAAATGTTTTTGATGTCTCCAATTGAACCTGTTACAAACTTCCCTATATTTAGAGAGGAGATTTGGGGTGTCCATACCTCTAGGAAATTGCTGTACGTGGAATTCATTAAAAGGAATGTTTGAAATGAGCTGCAGCATTAAAGACCAAGGCTTGGCTTTTGAATAATTTTATAATTCAATATCTATTTGTGTGTGTGTGTGTGTGTGTGTGTGTGTGTGTGTAAATACACACACACACACACACACACACACATATA